GATTCCGCACCATTATACACATTATTAATTACATCGCAATCACTCTATTAAAGACGGTTGAAAATATAATCAAACCGTGTCCATGAAGCCTTACTTTTTTTCCTTATGCACCAATTTTCAATGGTAATGCAGCTCTTATTCAAACCATTTGGACCACTGAAAAGGATGGAGCGCAACCCTCGGAAGGATCTAGAATCTTATATATGTTTATGTAGGTACCAGCTCTCCAAGAATTCTATATTGAGAAACTTATATATGGCTCTTAAGTGAGGCCATATCTCTTAACTATTGGATCAAATTAGTTAGCCTAATCCAACGGTTAAGAGATAGGACCTCACTTAAGAGCCATATATAAGGCCCTCACTATAGAATGATTCACCAACTACCAAGCCAAGATTTTGAGATGGGTTGTGGGCCTTTTATCCAGTACAATAGGATACCAAGGACCCAGTTAGAGCCCACATATAACGCTTATTTGGCTTATGTTTCTTTTGCTTTGTGGCTGAGATTCTAGTGAGGGCCTTATATATGGTTCTTATGTGAGGTCCTATCTCTTAACCGTTCGATCAGGCTAACTAATTTGATCAAATGGCTAACCAATTTGATCCAACGGTTAAGAGATAGGGTCTCACTTAAGGGCCATATATAAGGCCCTCACTATAGAATTCTTATTGTGGTTGGATGGGCACGAGTCATTCTATAGTAAGGGCATTATCTAAGGCCTTTAGATGAGGCACAATCTCTTAACTGTTGGATCAAATTGTCTATCTCTTAACTGTTGGATCAAATAAACCAATTTGATCTAACGACTAAGAGATAAGGCCTCATCTAAGGACCTTAGATATGGCCTTCACTATAGAATTCTACGGATGGGCACCCTTCCATTTCTTTTTGTGGTTTGGGCCCTTGTTCTGGGCTTATATATGATCCTTGTTTGAGTAATGCACATTATGCACTGATGGATTTAGTTTCCAACCAAAAAAAGAAAAAAGGAACCTAGATCATCTGATTGTCTTATCTATCATTGTCTTGTAATCCAAAGGTTATATATTTGAAGTTTTCTAGTCAAAACCCAAAGGAAAATGAGTGAAGATTTTCATGCACCATTTGGGATTGAAGTTAAGGATTGCCAAAATAAGAAGAGAACATTGTGGGTACAAATATAAGGAACATTGTGGCATACACAATACAATACTCACAAGGACAGTGTTGGAATGAAAAATGGATACAACATTTGTTTTAATACTAATACATATGCATAGACTGAGATTCCAGCAGTCATGTAGAGCAGCTCTTACAATGCGCCAATTCCAGAATAGCAACTGCAGAACAAAAGCATTGCTCTAAGGCTAGAGGACTTCGATCTACAGCTTCAGGGAAAATGAAAGAATGAGTCCTCCCAATTCATCCCAGCTGCCCCTTCTATGCCTATTTCACAAGGCCTCATTTGACATTCTTCTCTGTTTTCATGGAAGTAATAATTCTAGTTAACAATAACTTTATTCAAGAACTTTCTGGGATTAAAACTCAATGCATTCAATGTAGTTATAGTCATGCAAAACATTTCCCACTTACGTGTTCATTAGCAGCTGCGATGTGTAATCCGCTAGCTGAGATGCAGATAAGATTGATTCAGATTCTCTTTTGGCTGGGGAAATTCCTATATTAAGAATTTAAACAAGCAAGCGGTTAAGTTTGGATATAACCATAATAAGAAGTTCATATAACAAAACGTTCAAAGAGTATGCTCATTTACCTCCGAAATCCTTCCATCTGTAGTTCGATTTTCAAAATTAGCATCACTGTTGCTAACTTGTTCATAGTTATCATATGTAGATTGCCATTGATTCTCATAGACATCTACATGAGGGACACTTCCCAGTTCGGTGTATATTGGTGACTGCAGTGTGTAAGAGTAGTAATCCTGTGCCGGAGGTTGCTGGATTAAGAATCACAAACAAGCAAGCGTAAGTTAATGTATACTTCTTCTTGTACTCCATACTAAGAAGTTAGTATCGTAAATGCCAAGAAGTATATATGTTTGGGCTCACCTCAAGAACCATATTATTTGCAGTTTGATTTCCAAAATCAGAGTCATC